TGTGTGAGGACAAAAGCAGTGAATCAGAAAAGAGATAGTTTCAAAGCAACTGCCACAGGGAAACAATACCAGATTAAAGATTGCATCACATGTAACACAGAGGGGGTTGGTATATGGGTCACAATGTTCTTGTAACATCCAATATATTGGACAAACGAAAAGACCTCAGTGGAAACAAATCAGGGAACATTTGCAAAATATATCTAAGAGATCTAAAAACCATAGCATATCTATGCATTTTGACACTGTACATAATAAAAATCCATCTACTCTACAATTTTGGGGAAATGGGAAATACCATCCACATTGGAGAGGCAGTGACAACATTTTACCCTTAGAGTGTTACTAAACCCAGGACCCTGCATTCACTATATCTGTTCTCCCACAGTACACACAACATGGAAGTGCAGTTATTTTACTAAATATAAACTGCTAAATACCTTTTCTCATCAGCAGTTAGAGCAGTCTTGTGATTTCTATCAGTGTCCAGCAGAGTACTGGTTAAAGCTTATAGGAGGTGTTTTCATTTTGTTCTAGGAGGATGCAGAACCCCTGACCTGTCTGGACAGTGCTGATTCGCTGATCACATGCACTCTTCCAAGAAAAAAAAAAAAAAAAAACCTCTCTAGCAATACACACCAAACTGAGCATGTGCAGAGTGTCTCTACACCATATGTCTTAACAGGAGATAAAAAGGAGACACTAGAAGAAGGGGAGGATCAGACAAGTCAGGATCAATCAGCCTTTTTACACAATCTAGAGGCTTAAACCTTTAGGTTCCACAGTGATTATAACAAGCATGCTTTACTGCATATACAGACTGATTTTACTGACTGTACATCATTCATATTGGATATATGAAATACAGACTTTATTTTTGTCAGGGTATAATGTGGAGTTGATATTGATTGTTTTACAACTGACTGTTAATTATGTTTTTATATTTTAAGAATTTTTTTAAAACTTTTTTTATGGAATTTAGAGATAATTTGTAGTATTTTCCAGTACAATCACACCACTAGGTGGGGTAGGAGAGAGATTAGGGGTATATTATAAGCATAGGATTTAAAATATTTGATTATGGTATGTTTCCAACTTTATTTTAAGTACAAAGAGGAAGATGAACTCTTTAAAATAGGTTTACGTGTAGTCTGAAATATTTGGCATTCGTTTAGTTGTTTTGTCAGTCCGGTCCATTTGCTATAGCAATAGTTGTGTATATCTTTTGTCCAGCGTCGCTCAGTGACCTTTCCCTGATGAAGCCGTGTGGGTTAGTGGCGTAACGCGTGGGGCGAAGCTTAGTAGCGTCACTTCTGGCATGGAGCGGCTAGATGTAAAACGTTCTTTATTTATCTTTTATTGTGAGTGTAAATTTGGCTACAATATATATATTGTATTCAATAAATGGTATTGCATGATGGGAGGCCATTCTATTTTTCTTCCTTATGGGGATGCCAATTGGAAGAGAAGGAGCAGAGGCACCACAAATTGGAGTAGAGTGACTACCAATGTGGAGGAGTTATCCAGCAGGAGATGCACTGTCATCCCGAGTCCATATCTGGGAATGTAACATGCGCAAGAGACCTGTATATTTAGGTATACAGGCGTACCTTCGGTTTATGAATTTAATTTGTTCTGTGGGACTTTTCGTACTGTGAAAAATACTTAAACCGAAATGCAGTTTCCCATAGGAATGCATTGAAAACCAATTAATCCATTCTGAAGGTCCGAAAAAAAAAAAAAAAAAAAAAAAAATCTTTTATCTGTTCAAAACTCTTTGTAAAGTGCACTTTAAATGCATAAATACTGTACAGGGACATAACTAAAAATTAATTTGTAAATTCATCGAAAACCAATTAATCCATTTTATCTGCTCAAAACTCTTTATAAAGTGCACTTTAAAGGCATAAAGGGATATGATTAAAAAAAAATTAAAATGCATTAAAAACTAATTAATCCGTTCTGGAGGTCAGAAAAAAGTAAGAAAAAAGTCTTATCTGTTCAAAACTCTTTATAGAGTGCACTTTAAAGGCATAGTACGGTACAGGGACATGATAAAAAAAAAAATCATAAATGCATTGAAAACCAATTAATCCGTTCGTATTGCGAAAAAATTTCATAAACTGAGCCATTATTTTCAATGGATTTTCATTCGTAAAGTGAAAATTACATTAAAAGAAGACGTTCGTAAACCGAGGTACGCCTGTATAGGTCCTGGTTCCCAGGTGAGTGGCCATCCATAAGTGTGGTGGTGGGACTTGCTGGTGAAGCACACAGATATTCTATGATCACTGAAGCAATTCAATTGGTTTATGGAGCGAATTCAAGCACAGCTACAATGAATGTTTATTATATAGAAGTTTATGGATTTTGATATTCACTTGGGACTTGTGTATTTATGTGATTTTTAAGTATTTATACACAGATTATGTATTATATAGGAATTAAGATATATTTATTTATTAAGTAACACAACACTTTATTATTTATTCGTCATTAAAAGTAACTGATGAAAGTTATGAGCGGCCACTGTTTGTTTTGTTTTTATTTATTTATTTTTTTACCAGAGGCATGTGCACTTAGGTTTGGTGTACACAAGCACCTAAGGTCAGTTGGGAAAAGGTTTATAGCGTGCTTTCCCCCCCTATACATGTCAGCCTGTGAGCTGCACTAAAATATTCTAACAAATTCTCCCAAGGATGGGGAAATCTCCCATTGTGGCTGCTTTGTTCTGACATGATCTCATTGGATGCAGTTGCTGTTAGTCTAACAATTTTCAGCTCAGCTCTTTCAATTTTTAAATTAAAAAATTGTGGGTGGGAGGTGACCATCAGTTTCTAGGAAATGGAAGGAATTCTTAGCGTGTTCCCAGGTTCATAACAGAAAGCTAAGACATTACAAAGCTCTGGATATTCCCTAGTACTTGTAGGTCCTTGCACAAAAAAACAAAACAAAAAAAAACTTTATAAATAATTAAGAATGAAATATTATCCAGAAAGCAAACTATAAATAAAATTATTACTTTCTTTAAGTAATAAAAAATGTTAGCTTTGCAAATACTTTTCTTTTAAAATATTACCAAAACAAACCACTAGATGTCACCCTACAGTTTATTATTACAAGTTTGCAAAAAATCTGCTTTTAATTTATGTTTAAAGTGTACCTTGCCTAAAAATGAGAGGACTCAATATTTGGACCCCCCCCCCCATGTAAAAATGCTTGACACAAAAATACAAAAACAAATTAAAAACGCATATACACGTTAGGAGATCACCTAAAAATCTATGTACTTTACACTCTGCCTTCTTGCACAGTGCTGGAGATTTGGGATCCTCAGTATTTCCAGAATCTTGCCAGAAAGCCCAAAATATCACCTTCACCTAGATGCCACGGGTGGATGCCAGGGTGTGAGGTAAGCAGTGGGTTTACAGGGTTTTTGTGTATATGCAGGGTGTCTAGTTAATAAGAGGACCTCATATTTTGATACAGAGTTCACTTTAACTTGTCTTTTTTCCATATAACCAAATATATCCATGGCTGCCAAACCAAGAGTTCCCTTTAAGGCTGGGTTCACATATATGAGGTGCAGTACATCGCATGTGATTTGCACAGGAACCACACGGCATTCCTGTGCAAATCACATGCGAATTGTGTGCAGTGCAATTGGAACCATACATTATGTGTGGCTCAAATCGCACCGTATCCGCACCAAAAAGGTGCAGGACCGTTTTTTGTCCGCACTAGAATTGGATTGCTTGGGTATTCACACCCATGCGATCCGATTCTGCACATCGCACCGCGTTTTGTGGACCGATTTCGGGGTGTTGTTAACATACACACCTACAGCGGTTTGCATGAACACGGTGCGATTCTGATGCGGTGCGGAATTCACACAGAAAATGCTCTGAATTCCGCACCGCATCAGTGTGAACCCAGGCTTAAGCTGAACTCCGGCAAACCACTATTTAGTTAAAATACAATACATATACTGTACTTGAACAATCTTATCTACTAAGGATTTCTAGTATTGTTGCTGCTCCCTCTTCCAGTGTGAGCACTGCTGTGCAGGGGATAGTGGGAGGAAGATATCAAGAAGGATTTGGGTTGGTGCACAGCTGCACCAATCGTATTATATATCTATCTGGAGTTTAGATTTAAGTAAAAATAAGCTAGACTTTAACCTAGAATTCAATATCAGAAGTTGAAGACTAACTCCCATATTGCTCTTTAGACTAATGTCAGACTAGGAGCTGACTAATCACTGTTATACTGATTAGGCATGTGCAATTTGCTTCATTCAGATTCGTTTCTCGTCGAATATTTCATTTTTGGAGATTTAGATGCATTCAAATTTCAAAATGGTCATAGTAATGAATTTGAATGAATCCCAAAAACAGTTATACCAATTATTTTGATCATACAAATCCATTGAGAAGCTGGTTGTTAAGGAGCGGGCTGCCGCCATGTCCTTAACAATCATGGGATTCCCTGCTGTCAGCAGAATGTAAACAAACGAACTGCATGTTAAAAAAAAAAATTGCGTGGCCCCCACCCCCCGATCCATGTCCCTTCGGGTCTGGTATGGATTTTGAGTGAACCCCCACACCCAACACCTGAATTAAAAAAATGCCCCACAGGGCCTGGTAAAGCTTGGGGATGGCAGCCCCACAGTTTTTTTTTTAACAGCTTCTTTTGTTTATATTCTGCTGACAGTGCTGAATCCCGCTCCTTAACAACCAGGCTATTCCAAATTAAACAAACTGAATACCAAAGAGACAAAATTAATTCAGAAAATGAATAGGCCCATTAAAGTGTTACTAAACCCAGACCCTGCATTCACTATATCTGGTCTTCCACAGTACACACAACATGGAAATGAAATCATTTTAGTAAATATAAACGGCTAAATACCTTTTCTCATCAGCAGTTAGATCAGTCGTGTGACTTCTATCAGTGTTCAGCAGAGCACTAATTAAAGCTTGTAGGAGGAGTTTTCTTTCTGTTCTAGGAGGATGCAGAACTCCTGACACTCTGTCTGGACAGTGCTGATTGGCCCTGTGCTGATCACATGCACTCTCCCAAGAAAAAAAAAACCTCTCTAGCAATACACACCAAATTGAGCATGTGCAGAGTGACTCCATACGATATGTCTTTTCAGGAGATAAGAGGGGGATACTGGAAGAAGAGGAGGATGACAGAAGACAGGATCAAACAGCATTTTTACACAATGCAGAGGATTAACCCCTTATGTTACACATAGCATGCTTTACTGCATATACAGACTGATTTTACTGTTGTGGGTTTAGTAACACTTTAACGAATGCATCCAAAACAAATTCTTCCATTAACAAATGTATCTGAAAACTAAACAAACTTTTTTGGTGTGCACATATCTAATACTGATAAATGTGGGGAGTATTTAGACCAACCTCTTTACTCCATTATTAGATATTCATTTATAATTTACTTCCACTATTGATTATGAAACTTTGTGTAAGTCATATGTGTATAAGTACCTTGGCCAAGTTGCCATCTGCAAGTGTTTGGAGTTCTGTGGAGCTGAATTTAGCCATTTCTGTCAGTCTGTGTGTTAGTTTTGGTATGTTATGGAATTAAATACCATCTTAAATAAATTAAAGTGAACGTTCTCTATATTTAGACAGAGTAAGGAAGGGTTACAACCATCATCAGGTTATTTTTTTGCTACCTGTGTTCCGCTGGGGACATTTATCCTATCTTTACCTTTACTTATTTGGGCCTGGAGATCTCATGAATGGAATTACCAATGTAGCTTGCAATGACCCTAAGGAAACTGATATTTCTATAATATATATAATATATATTATATTACTCCCCATATTATCAGTGAAATAACACATACACAATAAAAAAGATTTAAAAATTAATTTATTTAAAGTTGAGTTTTAGTCAGCCTATTTTCTGCCTTCACTGGCTCCTCTTTTACACCCTTATCAACATGCTAATGTTATATTTAAAAAATATACATTTTAATTTCATACATTATTTTCATCCTAGTAATAGCATCACTGGGTATATGTGCTTCTCAATGCAATGCATGCAGATCAAGGCTGGTGGGAGGAGCTGGCAGGTACTTAACATAGCTTCCTGACAACATCACAGCACTCTGCCTCAGTTCTCCAAAGAGCCCTCGGCCCTGATATAAGCAGTGGGCTGCCTCTTGCCAGCAGTTATGCAAATATCAAAACACCTCAATGGGTGGAAGTCAGCCTGGAGGAATGAGCATTCCTGGGCATTATGCATTTGCATGTAGACTGCCTTAAGTATTGCTCACATATAATGGCAAACCTCTGTGATTGAAATAACTGAAATCTAGTAAATGAAAGCAAAGATCCAGTGAAAGTTAGTCTGGGAAAGAGATGGCTAGATGATGCTGGATATTTTTCAGCTAGGAAACTAGATGGGCTATATTTGAGTTGCTGAAGCTTTGAATGCACACTGAGAAGCTCACAGTGTGCTGAGAAACCAGAGTAAGCCATTTAAGTAAAGGGAAGAAGGCCATACAACTGTACAAGACAGAAGACATGGTGTGACCTGGATAAATGCTACAAAACCAATGACAACAGCTTCCTCTCAGGCTTCCAAATTTGAGAGGCAGTCCAGGAACATAATATATTACCAATCTGATCGGTTAGAGCAGCTACTTCTAATTTTATTGCTTTGTAGTAGGCAAGACTGTTGCTCTGTGAATTATCTTTCTGGATTTAGTGCCATCCAAGGTAATAACTTAAAGAACAATTACAGGAATGGATATTTTCACATAGTTACATTGCCCAGCTTGGGATAGGTACTCGGAGAACAACATCATCCCCATTGACACACCAAGTTAAACAAATGGATACTGCACTGCTAGTGGGAGCCCAGATATAGATACCCTGCACTCAACTAAGGTTCAGTATCAAAAAGCAAACATCAGGCTAGTTAGTGGTAAATTAACCCAATATGTTGTCACGGATTACAGTAATTAGTAGTATGTACATAAATAAGGAAAGGATTAGGTCAATCACAGTCCACTAGACAATATATCCACTAGGCCAGGGGTGGGCAACTGCGGCCCTCCAGCTGCTGTTGAACTACATGTCCCATGAAGCACTGCAAGACTGACAGTTTAAATCAGGACTCCCAGAGGCATAAGAATGGTGGGACTTGTAGTTCTGCAACAGTTGGAGGGCCACAGTTGCCCACCCCTGCACTAGGCTATAGCACAATAGAATGGAATTCTATGCAGCTACATTAGAGGAGGTACCTCTTACCTCTGACAATAGGCAAAGTTCTTGTGAAGCTATCTAAGTGAGCATACTGTAGCCCTAGTTCTTTAGCTGGCTAGCGTTGGGGCCCAATATTTATGGTGGTGCACATTCATACAGCCCCAGTAATGTCTGCATGTGGTAAATAATGCTGCTAGGTATATGGACAGTCCTTATGTGCTCAGTCTCTGCTAGTAACAAAAGGTAAGTGTCCTCTGCAATACAGCAACAGGGGTCTCACTGTTCAGATGTCAATTCACTTCTAGATCTGGGTAGAGTGATTCTGGTCCTCAGCACAGGAAGCAGGCTTGTGGCAAGTTGATGTGCACACAGGAGCAGCGATTTGCACACCTCAGGCTCCCCACAGCAAAGAAAAAGTTCCTCGGTGAGAAAATACAACTCTCTCAACCCTTATACCTGGCTTGCACTGAGAACTGTAATCCAATGGTCCATAGACTGCCATAGTAAAATGTATTTCCCAAACGTCATGACCCATGATTCAATGCTGCCAACCATCAAATCTCTTGAGCTCCTTCTGCTTGTAAGCTCCCCCTGGTGGATGGAGGCAAAGTAGTGTTAACCCATTCATTTGAAGTACATTGGGAGCAGAGAGGGCACTGCAGCAGTGTCCTAAATCTCTATCTGTTTCTAGCCAAGTACCTGGCTACACTTACAATACATTATTTGAAACTAGCAACTATCATCATTTTTGTCTGTTTAATACTTTGTTGATGTGACCTACTGCTTAACTGCTGTAACTATTTTTTACTGTTTCTAGTTTAAATTTGACTTTATGCTAGTCAATAAGTTCAGCATATGCATCATGGTTAATGGACACAATGGCAAGTGACCTGGGGCACAGGTGTGTTCGCTCATTAGAAAATGTAGCTGTAGCCGGGATGATTGATTTCTATGCAGTTATTTTTATTCTTGGCTCTTAAAAAATACAAACATTGTATAGGTGAACTTAAATCAAAATGTAGCAAATCTTCAACAATAAACAATAGATATGGGACCTCTGCCCAAACAAGTATGAAATTAAAACAGAATACTAGAACAGAAACAAGAATTAGACTAAAAGTACATGGGTAGCCTACTCATGCTGCCAAAATCATTAGTGTAGGAGTAGTGACTAATTTCCAAATGAATGGAACAAAAGGCTACCTATGGTGTAAACTACACAGGCAGCATGTAGCAAATTAAAGCTGAACTCCAGGTATGGATTTAATTGCATAGTTATATTGGTCAAGATTGGATTAAGGTAAGCATGCATATGCTGGGCATTGCTTGCTCAGCATGGGCACCATTCACAGAATGCCTTGCATTTTCCTTACTGAATGCAAGGAGTTTGCTGATTGGACAAGGTGGAGAGGCAGAGCAGTGACATAATGATCTCCACCTTGTCCAGTCAGAGAATTTTTGCACTCATTGGTAAAAATTCAAGGTGTTCTGTAAATGGCACCCATCCTGAGGGAGCAATCACCTGGGGTTACAATGAAGAAGGGAAGCCACTTAGCATGGGACCCATAACACAGCGATTCTCCAATTCCACAGTGGTCCCATAGATATGGCATGTGCATACTGTATTTACATTGGTCCAAGCTGTGCCACTGTAACAATGTAATAAAATTCATAATTGGAATTCAGCTCTAAAGTGGAACTGTAGCCTGGCTGTGGGTTGGCAGCTGTAACTATGAGATGAAAGTATGTACACATGTACATTATGGCATGCTTACCTTTGGATGCCCTCCACCAGTGCTGACATCTCTACAATCCCACTCACTGTTCTGTCCCCACAGCTGCTATGTCCTTCTTCTGCTTTTCTGGGGCCAGATTATTCTCTTCTCCCCTTTGGGGGCCACTGATGATGTAAGGCCTACAATTGATATCATCCTGGCACCCAGTTCTATTCAGGGCATTTTACAGGTGGCAGGGTGGGTAGGGAGCATGTACTGGGCTGCAGGCAGTGCCCACTGAAAAAAAAAACATAAATGAGAAAGAGTCTCTTCTGCCCCAAACCTCCACTTCCTAGCACTTTTCTGTAGAATTTAGCAAAATCTGGTGTGGCTCTGCATAGGAACCTATCAGCTTCCAGCTTTGTTTTTTCAAAGCTTTATTGAACAAGCTGAAGTTAGAAGCTGATTGGCTACCATGCACAGCTTTGCACTATCCAGATTTAGTAAATAAACCCCAATGCCTCAGTTGTGGTGATTGATCACTGCTACATGCTACTTGAGAAGCCATTTGTTACATCTGTTTAGTGGTCTGCCACTACTAACTAGCATGACTGTGCTATTACAAATGTCCATCATAGCTCTAGGAATTAGGCATTCTATGGAAGGTTGTGGTGGGTGCTTGTAGAATAGATTCTGGGGAGGAAGATCTGCTGGATTATATGACTAAAGAGAATATTATTGCATTTTACTGTATATAGGTTTTTGCCTATGGTCAGCCAGGAGGTAGAATCATTGGCAGGTTCTGTCTGACAGTCTGGGCAAATGTGTTATGCACTATGGCCCATGTGCATGCACTAGTCTGTGTCCACTCTGTGCATAATGTCACACACCACACAGTTCACAGTGATTGGGACAGTGTGACAGGGGAATATAAAGGGCATTGTATAGTTCCCAACACTGCAAGGGGAGGCTGTCCTCCTTCTTTATGGATATTTGGGAAAGTGGAAAGGTAGCATGGAACCCCCGAGCAGGGGCGGACTGACCATTTGGAAACTCGGGCACTGCCTGAGGGCCCAGGGTCAGTAGGGGGCTCCATGAGATGCCCCTGGGGTACTTGTCTGTTAATTCACCGGATTTATTTATATATATATATATATATATATATATATATATATATATTTTTTTTTTTTTATATATATATTTAAATAAAACATATAAAAAAAAAAATAATATATATATATATATATATATATTTTATATGTTTCATTTAAATATATAAAAAATATATATATTTTTATATATATATATATATATATATATATATATATAAATAAATCCGGTGAA